CTATACAAAAAGAAAAATAATCTAGCTGAAGGCAGTTAATTCCCAGAGTGCCTGTCTGTGTGAAGCTGGCATGGGTGGGGGTGAGGAAGGGACGGGGATGCCATAAAGGCAGATGGCGTGTCTTTTACCAGCGTGCCAGCACTGCTTCCCAATCGCACTCTCTAGGTATGCCGTCTTATTCATCATTGAATTCCTAGTGTGGAACACAGCGTGTGCTTTTTAATTACAGTGAAGCTTTAGCCGAGGCTGCAAGGAGTCGGGTTTTGCTGTGGAGATAAGGGCAGAGGAAACATCATACAAGAAAGTACGGAGTCCTGAGTAAGCAGAGCAGGTTTAAGTCACAGCAAATAATTGAATACGAAAAAGGTCTGAGGTGCGTGGGGCAGAGAGACAGTGAGAAGAGGGCTGCAGGCAGATCTATAACCTTCAAGGAATTGTGCTTCAGGCTGCGGAACTCAGACTTCACCATCTTCTTATCTGTATTGCTCAGTCCCTGGAGTCCCATGAAGGTCACTTTGGGAGGGGGTGTCTCAAAAGGTGGGGGTGACCAGGACTCCACGTGTTCATCTCTCTCTCTCCTGTACTCACTTCCTTCATCAAAGCAACTCAGCTGTAATCAGCTTTATTTATCAAGAACTTAAGTTTGCTTGAAAAAGACACTTGAAAAAACAAAAAAAACACTACATTAGTTGATAGTCAATGGCTGAAACTTAGAAACCCAGGAGTCTTATTTGAGGTTTCTGTTTAAAAGAACATTTTGGAGGTGGGAAGCCAGGCCCCAGCTGGGAGCCATGCTAACTGCTAGTCTCTGACACAATTATGAATCAAACCACGACACTGGCAGAATGTTTGGGAAGAAGTGGTTATGATGAGTAATAGAGGGCATGCTGTGATTAACTAAATATGAAGCGTGAGGCAGTGGTGGATAAGAAGAGTTTAATATTTTATTATTGGGAAAATGGATAGATTCTTGAATGCCATTCACCAAGAGAGAAGATAGTTAGCTTTCAGACACGGTTTGCTATCTTATGGAACATCCAGACGAAAACCTCCAGCTGGAATACAGTAAATATATATTCTTTTTGTGCCGAAGAAATAGTTCTGGGTTGTGTGGGGAATAATTGAGGCATTTTATGTCTGCAGTGCCTATTTTTTATATGATGTGAAAAAAATGTCATGTGTTGAGACTGAAAGGAAAGATGTGAATACATTTAAAAAGGAGATTTGAAAAGTTTAACGTAATTGATCTAGGGGAAAGTGTCAATAATAAACATTTTTTACAAAGCTGAAGAAGCATTAGAGTCATGTAAATACTGGGTATTAGAAATTTGAGAAATCTGCATATTTATGCAATTTCTCTCTGGTTATGCTCAGAGTTCAGGTTGTAGAAACTGAAAAATGAGATTGTAATATGGATTCAAAGTTGAGGGCTTGTAAGACAGTTGCAGAAATACAAAGGTTTCAACTGTTTGAAAAAGCCTTTGAAGAGAGTAGTTCAAGGGATGAACTGTAAAGAGATGAAAGTAAGATGAGAAGGTGGTCACTGGACTGGCGAGATGAGACACTAGAGACCTGGCATTTACAATGAGGCGGGAGAAGTATGAGAAAGCTGAAAAGATAATTGCTTTCAGGATATATTCAAAATCAAAAGTCCAATAGGGGAACAATACAGGTAACCTTATTTTAAATAAGAGGTACAATTTAATACTGCAACAAAGTATTTCACAAAAATAAGTCATGCATTTCATGAAATACCAGATGGATCATTAGCTATTGCAAGTTAAACAAAAGCCAGCTATACACATGCACACATTCAATCACACATAATCTTTATACCTGCATATAGTTATTTTTTTAAATTTTTATTCCATGTAAACCAAATATTTTACTTTTACCATATTTCCTATATTTGACTATCAGTCATTAATGAGAATAAGATTTTTTTCCTTTTTAGTTTTGCTTTTCATCAGGAAGCTCTTATTTTTCAGGTGGTATGTGGAGTAAAGAATAGCTATCATACTCCTGCTGGTATTGTGGTAATAAAACATGGTGAACTCTAACAAGGAATAAACGAAGATTATAGCACCTCTCTGTTCAAAAGTAATTTGTGATTTTTCAACCACAAATACCTCTTATTATATATTAGATAACAGATTATTGCAATGCAAGTTTCTAAAAATAGATATTTTTTAGTTCTGAGTCAAGGCTACCTCAGCCCTTAAAAATGTTATTGTTGTCCATTGTGCCTCCTTCCTCAGGGCGGGGAAAAAAAACTCTCAAAGGTAGCTCTGAAAAGAATATAAGGTTAGAAATAGTCCTGGAAAGGACACTATGCACTTATTGCTAAAATGTGGAGTCCAAGCTTTGAAAAGGAATCAGAGTTTAATTTATTATTGCTGCAGGAGGGTTACACAGCCCATATTTCTTTCAAGTAGCTCTGAGTGATTGTCCCAAATGAAGTACAATCTGTTCTTCCTTATTTTTTTTCCATTTTGAAACTTGATTTGATTTTTACTCCTAGTAATTCTAACATCTTCTATTTAGTACACAACATATGCTATTAGAAGAAAAGGAAGTTTGGGATTTAATTTCCTTACAAAGCTACCTAAGTTATTAGAATTGATCTCTTTCTTCCATGTCTGATACAGTTATTTAGACAGACAACATTATCAAAAAATGTTCCCTCTTGTTTCTCAAAAGCCAAGGACAGCTTTATTTCATGTAAAATTAAATAAAGGACAACTTTGTTCTTTTATTCAGTGTAATGCATTTATCGCATGAATCCAAGAACAGGAAAGTCTCAATTTCTAGATCAAAGTAAGGAATTGCCTCATTTTAAAATGTTCAGCCCAAAATGCTATTAAGTCCTGATACCCCACTTTAAGGACAGATGAACTGAAACTCATTCAGGGAAAAACAGTGAGTGTGGTAAGGCTTCTCAATCCATGATAGAAAGGGAATTATGTAAGGAATTAAAAATATTTATAAGAAGAGAAAAATAATGATAAACATATTAGTCATCATATATCTTGGAGGGTAATCATATGGAAAGTGTATACTTATTTTTAAAAAGCTGGTACCAACACGTGATTGCTGTAGGAAAAATATGTCACAGCATTAACAGAAGAGGGAGCAACGCTCAATTCTGTGGCTATTTAAATAAGGCTTGATATTGTGGACTTTTCATCAGATTGTCTAAATTTTGTTTTTGGCTCAATCACCTATTTCTTAATTATATGTTTTTGGATTTTTATTCATCAAAATGTTGGTTATTAAACTTCTCATCCCTTTACCAACACTTCTATATTCTGCTTTGTGATATTAGGGCTGGGGCTTTCTAGACCAGTGTCTCTCCTGGGATGCCTGAGCTCCTTGCAGGGGATTTGTAAGGTCAAAATTATTTTTATAATGATAGTATTAATAAGATATTGCTTCCTTTTCTTACTCTCATTCTCTTATAAGTGTACAGTAAAGTTTTCAAGAAGCTCCGTGACATCATATAGCAACAGAAGCACAGAAGCGGATATGATCGCCCAGCTTTCTTCCACAAAGCCAGGCATGAAAGACTTTTGTAATGTTGTAAAACAATGTCACCCTTCTCACTACTTTTTTTGAAAATAGTTATTTTTCATAAAAATAGGTTATTTTAGTTAACATGTAATTGGTCGATTGTTGTTGTTTTTACACTGTCTCACCTTTAGTATGGTAAATATCAATAGGTATCACCCACATAAACAAAAGCTCTTTCAGGTCCTCAGTAATTTCTAAGAGTTCGGAAGAGGTCAAAGAATGAGAAATGCTGCCGTAGACATTTCTGCATTGTCGACAGATTCCTATTGGGTCCATAGGGGGCATGAAAGGGAAAAAGGAAAAGATAGGAGAAAAAGGAGGGGATGGTTCTGTTAGGCAGCCTGCTCTTCTGTTGATACTCTCCAGCATTTCAGCCCGTAGCACGTGGTTCTAGTGTCAATAAGCTTACTCTCCAGCTTATTTCTAAACCGACAAAGGCACAATGAGGTCCCCGGGACATGATCTGGCACAGGCCATGGTGATGCACCCTCATCAGAGGTCTGAGTCCCAGGGCTGTAGGCCCTTCCTAGAATCCTGGAGCTACCAAAGCCAGGCAGGACGCCAGACAGAAGCCCAAGGGCTAGAGCCACCAGGCAAGGCTCTTGCCTCAGAACTGTGTCGCAGCTCCAACAGGTCCGTCCTCCAGGCTTCTGAGTTTTGATTACTCCAACCAGGGTCAGCACATGCTTCCTAGGTTCTATCTACATTACCTCTGTGTTCTCTTTTTGCTTTTTCAATCCTCCAACACTAATTTAACCAATTTCCTATTTTATATTCTCTTTTGCAGTATAGCGAAATTATTTTTTGCCTGATTGGAAGGAGAAACAGGTATTAATACAGGTATTAATACCTGTATTATACCTGTATTAGTAGCAGGTATTAATACATTAATACAACAGGTATTAATGTATTTATACATCTCTAAAAAGCTACCCATAATGAGAGAACCAATCATCTTTATGGTGACAAAAATTTAAAGTCTCTAAGAGAAAAATCAAAACTCTGTTCTGTGCTTACAAATCTAAAAATGTGAAAGTATATTGGTAACTAACACAACAGATATTAATATTATTATTTCTTGATACAACTGCTTTGTGATACATTTGCAAATATACAGCTATCTATATGTATCTACCTATTTAAAAATAGTAGTTATCTAAATTTGATGGAAATATCTCTTAAAAATTATTACCTAAATATAGAATTCCAGGACAAGAGAGAGATAATGATAAATTGTATTTTCTCTAAAGTTTAGCTATTATTATACCGGAGACATTTAAAATGATTTACACAATCTTAGTATAAAAGTATAAATCCTGCAATGGGGAGACAAATTTTAAGAAAATCAACATTTCTGTTTTACAAGAATTTGATACTCAATTAGCCCTTGAAATGTTTACTGTTATAAATTTGTAAGTAAACAAACTTACCGCCAGATAGGAGAGCAGGCTTATTTTTTGCCATTGGACTAGAATGAGGAAACTTGTTGCTAAATGACATGAAAAGGTGTGCAGTGAACTCATCGGGAAGCTCTGCTTCTAGGAATGTCTTCATGAATAGTTTGAAACCTTCAAAATCTATCGTCTGAAAAAAAATTTTAAACATATATTTTAAGATCCAGCCAAATATTAAGATATTATGTTATGCTCAAAATTATTAGTAGTAGAGATGTCTTCAAATAATTTTTTATATCCAAGCTTACAAAAAGACAGTACCTATTTGAGAAACAGGTTAGGCAGTCCCCAGGCTAACATGGGTGATGGAATGTATGTCTTATCTGTGGTGGGGTGGCAAGAAGAACAGGAGCTTTCCATATAGATATTTCCATTTCCATAGTGTCTGTATGACCTTAAAGAATTTACTCATTGAAACTTAGTCTCCTCCTCTGTAAATTGGGAATGATATTCCCGTTCCCACAAAATTGTTGTGATGATTAAATCAGGCGATTAATGTGAAAAAGCAATACAGAATCATATATATCCATACAGCAGGCACCCAGAGAGAAAGGAATTTTCCATCTCCTTTGCTTGTCATTAATGGTGATTACTGTTGCGACAATTGTAAAAAGAGGTTAACATCAACTTTTCGACTAAACACTAAGATCACTTGATATAACATTTCAAAACTTCGTATGCAAACTTTCCAAAGAAATGTGTTTTAAGAATCTTATACTCTTTTATTCATTGCAGAACTACAAATGATTTGACAATTATCTGGAGAGAATTGTTCTGGCGTTGAGGGCCGCTTCACCCCCACTAGGGAAAATGGCAATGGAAGACACCTTCTAACCTCAAAATAAATGACAGTGTTTTGCAGGAGCCACATAAAGTGCTTGATTTCTCTCCCAGCAGATGCAGTCAGTGGGCCAGGACTGGACTCCTGCCTACAAAATTGAGGACAAGTGTGTGGGTACTTTGGGGACAAAGGCAAGTAAATGGTACTGGTTTGAATTTGGCCAAAACTCCCCATGTTTGCAGGAGCAACTATTCATGAGTGTTTTCTGGGAAACAGATGTAGACCACGTAGAAGAAAAGGCAGTGGAACGCTTGGGTCCTATCCAGGAGGGCATTTGAAAGAACTAGAAGACCTACAGAGAAGAAGCTGGAATAAAGCCACATCTGTGCAGATCAAGAGAGGGCAAAGGAGGACAGGCTTCATAGGGAACCCTTGAAAGGCAATTTTTTCTTTCCCAGTTCAGTGTACTGAGATGAAACTAAAAATAGAAGAAAAATGAATTTGGCAGACTGGTGCTCTTAATTTTGTTCAAATTCCTGGCAGGTGAGAATAAAATTAGTTCCCTAAACTGCTGTTTTGGAATAGAAAAAGTCTGCCTTTTCTTTGTAACAATACTGGGGCAATGTGGTAGAGAATGACCAATTTATTGTTGTGTTTTTTGGGATAAACCTAAAATGGAATATGACATTCAGGAATACCATTAGAGAAAGTAAATTTTTATAGATTAGGTCATGTACCAATTAAGTACATGTACTATGTTTGCTTTTATACCTAATATAATCTCAAGCAATAAAAACAAAAACAAAAAACTTTTCTTCATTTATTAATAGTTCCAAGACTTTCCCTATACCCTTATCTGACTTTTTTGGTTTAGTTTGGTTTTGTTTTGCTCATTCATTCTCACAAAAGCCCTTCAGACATTTACATTGGTGGCAATACAAAGACTTCATTTTCTTCCATATTTCGTAAATCACAACCACCACAGAATATTGTCAATTCTACTAGTAAGGTGAACTATGTAACTAAAAACTATGAGTAATATAAAAATATAAAGAATAGCCCCAGGTGGGAGAAGTACTTCCAAAAACAATTTGTCACAATAAATGCAGCCAACATTTCAAAATATGAAAATGAGGCCAGTAGCTAGGCAATTATATCCAAATAATGTTTCCTTGAGCAAGAGTACCTATTTTTACTAACAGGGTTCCTTACAGATGATCTATTAAAGAGAAGTAATTCACACTTACTTGGATGAGTGACAAACAGTGATAGATAATCCCTACATGTATGAAGGCCCATTAGGAACTACGAGTTGATTTTATTCCAAAATTACAGGAAGTGTGTACGGATGAAAATCTTCTTCAGCATTGTGGTTAGAAGCAAGGTTATTTACGGTAGCACTTCTTCCTGTTCTCTAAGTCTTTGTAGTCAGCATTTTGTTTAACAACATGACAGATGACAAGAAGAATGGTCTTTGAAGTCAGACTACCTGGATCAACTCTTGGATCCAACAGTACCTGTGTGACTGTGTACAATTTATTCAACCTCTAGGTACCTCGATGTCTTCATCTATAAAATGTCAGTAACAGTAACTCCCTCTTGCTGTGCTAGGAGGATTGAATGATTTACAATTTTGAAGCACCAGAATGATATCTGGCACATAATAAGCACTGTAAGCAATTAAACAAATATAAACAGTATTTGTTTAAAGAAACATCATTTTAAATGTTCAGCATTCCAAATAACATTTGAAAAATAAGCCTCAAAGCATATTATGTTATGTGTTTTCGTATGAATTTATTATTTTTATTTAGAAAGCTGGTAATAAAAAGCGAAATTCTAAAAGGAGCAAAGGACTAGAAATAGCTAAAGTCTTTCCCTGGGTCTCCTTTTGGAATATGATTATATTTTAAAACAGCTACTTCTAGCCAAGATCTTAACTTGGTAACATAAGAAAACCAAAACCACCAACAAACAAAAACAAAAACGAGGAGTTCAAAATAAAACCCTTTCTTTCAAATTCCAATACCTCTACTTGCCACCTGAGTGACATGGGGCAAGGAATTTATCTGCTGTTTTAAAGAAAAGAATGCCAAATCTCAAATGTGCTCTTCACAGAGCCTTACACAACCCACATAGAACCTTATTGAAATAGGTGCCTGTGATTTAATAGTGAAAAACAGAAAAATGGCCAAAAGGAAAAATGAACTCAAATGTTTAGCGTCCCTCCTAATAAGCAATATATTCCTCCTCAGCCCTCCTTTTTCCAGCTCTCTGGAAGACTTTCTGAACTTTCTCAGGTATAGCTCTCACCTGCTCAGCAAGCAAAAACTTAGCTTAGTTTTATTTTCTGACAGCTCTAGGATTTAATTTCCTCCATGTAAAGTGATGTATGAGATCAATCATTCAGGGTTGTTGTCTAAATGTAATAAAAATTAATGTATAAAGCACTTAACATATCCTTGGGCACATAGTGTGTAAAAGAAATACAATAATAAAATAAAAGAAATAAGTAAAAGTAAGCACTATCTTGAGCTTAGATGGATTTTTTATTATTATCTTAATTTGCCTTTTTATTGGTCCAGAAAACTATATAGTGTGTAAAAGAAATACAATAATAAAATAAAAGAAATAAGTAAAAGGAAGCACTATCTTGAGCTTAGGTGGATTTTTTATTATTATCTTAATTTGCCTTTTTATTGGTCCAGAAAACTATAAAGTTTGCTGTATCTTTCCAAATCAAAAGTTTAGGTTTTGTATGTCTTAGATACTTCGTTATAATTATTCTGTGTTAGGCAGCATTGGCAAATTACTGCTTTCATAACATAAGAATTTAAAAACAGATATCTTACTTTAAAATTAAA